CTCGGCCATCTCGTTTCCATGTGTCATCTCATTAAGAACTAATGTGTGTTTATACTTGCTTTTCCCCTATTCTGTTAAAACTCAAGCTCTATTTTGCTAAGAGTACTTTGTATACCACTAACAATGAAAAAACAAATAATACAATAACCTCAAGCTACGAATTCATACAAAAAGAAAATGTGATCATTTTAAACCAGTAAACTGAAAAAAAAAAACGTGTGCGTTAAGGTATTAAAGTTTTCAAAATCAGTAACCGAACATTCTGTACAATATAACTCTCTGAAAAGTAAATTTGAACACGCTCCGTGCGCTATCACGCTAGCCAGATACAATATTTCCCGTCTCAAAATGAATTCAATTCGCCAGCTCCGTGTCGACTCGTGTCATTTTCAGAATCCAATCAAACGATCTTTAAACGGTTCTCCCCCATCTGCGACTGGGATCGCGGCGTTTAAATGTTGGACCGATAAAAGCACAGCTCTATCGATCGCTGACTGTACAGGACCATTAGCTCGACATCTGAGCGAGTTATCACGTACCGATTGTGGCGTCACGCGGTATTGCCATCCTTCGTATGCTTCTCTGCTCTCCTCTGTTCACTTTACCGCTGACTATTTACTCTCGAGAGTAGTCGAGAGCGTAGCGTCCGGGATCGCTCGTCGTATTCCGCCGAGCTTCCACGGAGTCTCACCTAGGACCCTTCAGTTCGCGTCTGAATCGTTGGAAAAAAGTTCCCCCGACGTGATGAAGGTGGTTTCCCTTAAAAAAACACAGTGACACGTGGGATTGATCGCGTAGATCGACAACAGCAACCTGATCACGAGTATTCGCGAACTCTCGATCTGGAACAAAGTGAAAACTGGAACAATCAACTCCTACTTCTGGTTCAAAAAAGAATTTTTCATGAAATCGAAAATATGAATTTTCATTAACGTTCAGTTAATATTGGGTTGAACGGAAAATTTTTGCGTGTCGTACGGGATGTCAGTAGAACACCCAGTTATATAATTCATTAATGTCTAAATGTCTGTGAATTCTTTTACTGTCATTATCTCATCTAGTATTCTATGATGTATCTCCTCTACAATTGGAGTTCGTGGTTCCTGGTTCTTGTATTGTTACAAAAATAAGCCAAAAGCGTCAAGTAATGTGCTTTATGAATTTCGGGAGTTATTATTGATCTGCACTGTTACAACCCAGACAAAAAAGTTAACCTTTATCTCCATTTTTTTATCGCCATTCACGCGATCCGAATGTGAAAAACAAGGACATCGAATCGATACAAAGGAATATCATCGCCTAACCAGAACAGTTGTCCAAGCCTCTGTGTTTTCCCCGCGTTTTCCTGGTTCATCGACCAAGGTCACCTGTCCGCAGTTTCCCGGAACGCAAGTGCCGCAATAAAATCGCGAGGTCTCGGTCGTATCAACGTACACACAGGCAACCCTCCATCAAAGGCGGGCTCGAATTTCCCTGCCTGTTACCGAGAAAAACCCCAACCGAAGAGACGTGCACTTCGACCGGGCAGTTTTATCGATTTATCGACGATAAAGCATCACAGTGTACAGTTACCTCGCGTAATATTTCCTACGATTCGGTGTGCATAAACTGTCCACGGTAAATTTCACACGTGGAACAATCCTTTGTCCTGTAACAAATTACAGAGGGGGAACCTTTACACGATGCTTTTGGCACCTGTGTGCTATACCGATTGGTCCCGTGCCAGAGACGACGAAAAGTTCACCGACGACCTGTACTGAATTATATTTCATTCCCTTCGAACAAACCCAGCCTGTCGGTTAACTAGACCAGCCAGAAATCGTCCAAATACAGCTGTTAAATTACCCGAATGTTGAATCTTCGTAATGGTGAAAGAGGACCATAGAACAAGGAGATAGGGGAATCGGAGACAGCTGAAGAGACGAGCGTGATTCGAAGCGAAACGAATAGGGGAGGGGAGACAAACGAAGCCGCGGGAATCGAAGTGGCTCAATTTGGTTGATTAAATTGGCCTCGGTTTACGTTGCGAGCACTGAATTACCGTTGTTGCTTTTACCACCACGCCCATGGTACGTGCGTGTTAACGTCCCGTAGTCGCGAGACTACGGGTTAATTTTTCCCGTCTCTGTGGCTTAAACGGTATTTCGGCTGTGAAGAGGACTTGTGCCTTCCACTAACGAGTCCAGGGGCTCCGTGGAATGGCCCCAGGGCTGAACTACGAGATTTCGTCCCGACGACGGGCTTATTAAAAAAACTCTGCATCCGCCAGTTTGTGCTCGGAGACCATTCCGATGACGAGGATTAGGGTAATATGATCCTGCGTACCGTCGGCTATTCCCTCAGGTGGCAACTCGGCTGCCCTGTGTACACCCACGAGCCGGGACCATCTCGCGGCTGGGATGTTGGAAAAGGTGCCAGTTTCAAGTTTCCTGCATTCTATAAATGCTTGATGAGACGACATTAAAGTTTAACGCGGTTCCTACCAGCTGGGTCACCGGTGATCTATGGCGCGAAACGTGAAACGAGAGTTATTCGGACGGTGAGTTAGGGCCAGATCGGAAATGGGGATGGGAGAGAATCGAAGCGAGATTGTGGGAAGTTTATGGTAATTGTGTAGGTGTGGGATCGTAGTGGTGGATACTTTTGTTGGTCAGTGTATATATTGTGCAAATGAGTGTTTAGTTAACTGGGTGCCTGGGCTGTTTTGTTGGTCGGTCGAATGATAACACGTTATTTGGTAGATTGCAGATAGTTTGTGTACGAACACGTCTTATTATTGTAGTCTAGCTGGTCTGTTGACGTAGGAGAGGCACTTTCAAAATCGGGTACCTGGGTTAAATTGGAACCTTTTTTTTAGGGTGGGGACAATTATCAAATGAAGGCTCGGGCTCCTTACTATTATTTTTGGAACGGTTTTCAATTTCCCCTAGTTGTTGCAGCCGTGTATACCCTTCATTTGTATCAGTTCGTTAGTAAACGTCGATCGTGATACACGTGTTCCTACTAGGGTTACGTTTTCTGTGTTGTTGAGTGCTCTAATCTAATTTTCGTTCATTTAAAAATTTTCCAACTACTCACAGTGTTAGGTATGTATTTTTTGGCGTATATTATGCTATTAACCGTGTATTAAAGTGTAATAATATGGTTGAGGGTCTGAAGAATTGGATGAATGCCACATATGCTAGGGGAGAGCATATCAGATACGGTTCCAAGTTTTATCCAGTATAATATATTTAAATTTGCTGGTCCTTTTGCATTTTTCTTCTATCAGAAAACTTAGATTTAAACTATTCTTTGGTGAGAGATTCTTCTAATAAACCTTAATTCAGTTTTTTCTCAATTTATTAATGTTACGAAATTTTATTCTAAGGATCCCGGTTTTACTCCAGTCTTCCCTAATAATACATCAATGTATCTTCCTGTATTTTTCACTCGAACGAAACAATGGTCTTTCTGTTTGCACAAATATCTGACTCCAGTATTTTCTTAAAATCTTCGATTAAATAGATTGGAGAATAAAAGAATGTTTGAGAGTTCTTTTAATGCTCTATATTTATCCCTTGCCGGCGACAATGTAACTTGTATTCTATTTTTATTAAAGCTCGGAAGCATCGATTGGACTAACGAAAGGAGGAAGAACGTAAAAGTTGTATGTTCGTCTCAATTCTATTTGCTCCCGATATTTCTCACCTCTTCGTGACAGAATAAGGTCGGAACGGTACAGTTTTCAGCATATTGTACCTTCCTATAGAAGAGCATACAGGGTGTTGATAAAATGAGCGGTTGCACTTTAGGGAGAGTCTTTTCACTTCAATCGACGATAGAGGAAAGTGCTGTGTCAATATAAGTGAATTTCCAGAAATCTTTTCTCGGAAACGTGAAACAGACACGGTACAGGTTTCGTATTTGCATTCAGTAACTCCATTCACTTTATATACATTTGAGGAATATATAAAGAGTCATCTCTAAAAGTGGAAATGTTATTCTATACGTTTCTGTCATTATAAAGGATGGAAGATATACCTACACTGTAATTCCCTGGTCTTTAATCTTAATAAAACTTTTTATCCAGATGGAAATTTTTGAGTAACGAACCAGTATTAAAGAGACATCGTGTGAATAATTCGTTAAATAAAAGCAACAGGTTCACAACACCCCGTATCACCGCATAAACTTTCATACAAAATATTGAATTGTCAGTTTAATTCCAAAATCATTTCTTCCATCTCCGATATTTATTTAAAACAAAATCCAATTAACTTGTCCGAGAGAGAGAAAAAACAACGTGATTTTCAAACAATATTTAACAAGTTCACCGACCAAATATCCACCACATTCTATTCATCAAAAAATAAAAAACACAATATTCTCTAAACCCAGCTCCCAAAGTTCGATATTTTTATCACAACCACTGAATAAACCGTCGCCCACGCTCCCACATGTTTGTCTTCCATTAATAGAAAAAAACTGCCACGGTACAACCATAAAAACTCGTGTGACACCCAGTATTATTCTCCCCCGAATTTCAAAAATTCCATTTTATCCACCACGCCGAGGGCACGTCCACGATACAAACCAAGTCTGGTTCCGCCTCTCCATCGTAGTTTCTTTTCTTTTTTTTTTTATCTCTCTCGCGACGGAATAACATTACACGATCTGCCGTTCTCGGGCAATACACGATATAACAGGGCTCCCTCGAATGTTCCTCATCGGGGTGCTTAGTTTTCGCTGGCCATCGCTGATAAATGGCGGGGAATCCCTGGAAAGGATCCCCCAGCGAGGGATATCCGAGTGACGTATCTGGGTTGGAACGTTGAGTTTCTCTATCTCTTTCTCTCTCTTTCTCTTGAACGTACCCTTGAGGAAAACGACTTTTCGCGCCTTTGGTCGGTCCTTTCTTTTTTTCGCGAACGAACGGACCGACCCGGAGCTATCATTAAATTCCGACTCGTCTGGATAACGTATCATTCGTTCTCATTACCTTCCTTCGCTTGCTGCAGTTTCCACGAAGGCGCTGGAGAGTGCGAAGAGCCTGGGTGGACTTCTGTACAGCGCCGTGAACAAGGCCGGAAAGACCGTCGTGGAGGCTGGCGTCAAGATCAAGAAGACCGTCGAGGAGAACGTGAGTAACGCATGCTTTTCCACTGGTTTCTTGGAATTTCTTTTAGTTATCTTGGGTTCCTGGATTATTGGATCTCGTGATCCGGAAAGACACATGCGTCTTGAGTCGTGATCTATTTCGAGCATCGTGGCGGTTTTTTTTTTCTTCGAGAAGAGGTGTCGAGGTGAGATCAAGCGGAACAATTGGCCATTAAGGGAAAGACATTAGTAGGATTCGAACGCAAACAGAAGTATTCTTGCTACCTACGCTTATCTGTTGTCTTCGTTCATGCTACAGAAAATAAGGAAAGTTGAAATCAATAAAATCGTGTATATGTACAGGGTGAACCAATAAGAACTAGTATTTAAAATAACTTATTACCTGTTGGTTGTATTAGAAAACGTTTTATTGAATTATTATATATAGAATTTTAAGGAACACGTCGGATGGATACAATTTGATTTTTTTTGTATATCTTATTCTTTTGAGATGTCGAGATGATCTTGAGTTTTTTCAAGGACAATGCATCTTTTTTTTAATACCAGGTCGAATTCGGCGACCTATGGCACGATGGTATTCAAAAAAATGCGTTGACCTTAAAAAACTCAAAGTCACTTTCATAACTAAAAGAAAAATAAGATATAAAAAATGAAATTATATACACTCGATGCATCCCTTAAAATGCTAATTCAAGACATACAAACATAATTTTTTAAAACGTTTTTGGATACAACCAATAGGTAACGAGTTAGTTTAGATCGTAGTTTATATTGACTCACCCTGTACATTATTAATATTAATATCTACTAAACTATTAGGTTGCTGCATAATAAATAGACTGTAGATATTTATGCATACATTTCTGTAGTCGAATTTACAGGAACTGAAGTCAAACAGAAGTTTGTTTGCTTATTTCACTTTATTCGCTGGTTAAAATAAAGCCAAACAATTATGTAGAGTATAAATGCATAAAATCCGTGGTTTAATAATGTTGTTTCTGTACTACAGCTAAACTTGGGCCAACGTGTTATAAGTTTCTTGACCCCATGTTTACCGATTATTATGCAACAACCTAACATTAACCGTCTAATGCTGAAGTTTGTATCGCTAGTTTGAGAATTCAAAGCCAAAGTTCATTAAACAATCAGGCTAACATCTCGATACCTCTTCTTGTTTGTTAGCATGCTAGCAGTTAGTGCGTTACCGATGGAAAGTTCGAAAGCAGTAGCTGATTTCATGGATTTTATTCGATACGAGACCCGTTCGATATAGTACCAAGTTCTTCTGAGTTATTGTTCTTTGAATATCCTTTTTCTTGTATTTAGTAGAACAGTCGCACCAAAAACTTTTCACTGCTATTAGGATCATAATGCGAATCAGCGATCCTTAGCGAAATAAATGCACAAAGCATGACCAGTCAGCTGTTACAATTCACAATAATGTACATTCGTAATAATGTTACAATTTCACGCTTATTCATTAGATATCTTCATTTATAAGCTAAACTTAATAAGTAGCTTAGCTTTAACTCAACAACAATTTTTTTAATATAACAATTTAACAAGTAGACTTTAACTTTCTACTCGGTGTTCGCACAGTGCTCGTAACAATATGTTTTTATTCTACGTTTATTATAGTGATTATTTCACTCCGATGCCATGGACAGAACGAGAAAAAGTCCCCCGAAAATTACCCCTTTAACGGTGGAATTTTGTTTTGGAAATGTATAACTATTTGGTTTCTTTATTCCAATAAAAGAAACATATTTTTCAAAATTTTTACTAAAATTTCAATTTTTATAGTGAATGGTATTTTATCTTTTCACATGACGAGTATATTCATCAAACATTGTTAAAGGGTTAACATGTTAAAACGTTCAAGAAACGACTACATCTAATCGAACTTTTACAAATCTTTCCTACAAGCGGAAAATAGCTTCCGATCTTTCCATCGGTCACACAATAGCGCAGTATAGAATCGATTCGAGAACCAAGCAAGATTTCAATAAATTACCTGTAACTTTCTATATCCATACCGATACACGGTAAAATCGATCGAGAAATCGGTTTCCATTGAACCTCTACCCGGTAGAACCCATCGAAAACTCAGAAAAATGATCCGTTGAAATTCAATGCTCATTGTTGGTCGGGGACGTTTGCTGCGGTTTTTTTTTCCCGTTGAAAAGCCGAGTGTTATTGTTCGTAAACGCGGGGCCGACCGATTTGTTTTCGAAACGGAACGATGACGACCCTGCCGTTGCACACGGCGTTGTATCATTTGAAGTCGCGCAACGAGTTTAACTTTGTGGGTTTTTGGCGACGGAATGAAATTTTTCCGATAATTGTGTTCGCGTTTGCGGTATTGTCGCGGTCGAGAAAAACGTTTACCGGGAAGAACGTTTTTCCTAGGGCTTAATTCTGTGAACTTACCGCGGACGGTTCGCGGAACCATGATAATTGGAGGAAAGAGTTTTTCACCTTATTTCCTGAAGAAATAAGTCGCTACTTCCGATTGAACAGGGAATAATTTCCGCGTATTCGCCAATCGACGAATGCCAAGCCGGAAAAATCACCCGGACGTTCCTTGTATACCTGTACTTCTTGTTGTCCACGTAAAAAGCTCGTCAATATTAGCGAACAGTTATGGATATTTCGTGCGTCAAATTAATTTTGTGGGTTGGTTCAGACGGAAATGAAATAACGTGTGTGTGATAAATAGCACAGATACTTTATTAAAATTAGCGCTGACAGAGATTAACGATGTACGTTTGTTTTAATGGTAGTATCCACGTAAATGCTGAATTTGAACAGTGTATTGGAACTAGGTGTCATTATAACAAAATTTACCGAGTAATAAAACTCTCGATCATTATTTTAGCTGTGATGAGAGCGAAGGTTTATTCGATTTAACCTATAATTGCAGATAGGAAGGAAAGATTCCCTTGTTTGTTCTGATGTATTGTTCTGGAGTTTCCCGAAGTGAAGGTTTGTGGAAAAATTAGTAATAGGTTCTACGTGTTAGGACAGACGTATATGGCTTCCAGAAATTCACGGTTCGTCGGATTTCTGACGATCACGTAACAATTTCTATCCTCCTGGTCTTCAAGGCGCTGTATCGCGATGCGACACGTGTGTCTACCGTTGTTGTATCTAATGCAGGAGAATCTAGATGGTCGAATGATTTAATCCGCGACTAACAAGCTCGATAAAACGAGATGGAATCGTAGGGTCAGTGTGAAATGGTGAACGATTACGTATCGATTTACTTATAGACCGTTGTTACGCAACGAGCTGTGAACCAGATGAAATTGACGGATCGTGTTTCCTTGTTAATTACTTTGGCATTTACGAGAATAATAATAGTAACAATAATGTCGGCCTTGTTAGATCGCAATTAGTGGAATCGAGCGTGGAAATCAATGAACAAAGGAAAGAATTCCAGGGAAAGGTATTACGCTAATGAAATTTGATGGTCGATGAAGGGATGCGTAGTGATTCAAATGATTCCTGATTGAATTTTGGAATATTTATTATCTGTTTCCCTTAATATATCTGCATTTCATCTTCTGCTTATATCGTAGTAGACAGAAGTTCATCACTTTAACTGTCGGATAAGCACCAAGATACTTTCACAGACTAGTAATCCCTTCTCAAGGAAATAGCGTACCGGGAAAGATTTACCATGTTAATTAGACTTCTAACTTTCTTGAAACTTGTGGATCGTAATTAAATTTACAGCGTGTTAAAATCAAATTAATATAGAATCGAAAACTGAGGGAAATAAGATAGTTAATTATTCACTTTATACGATAAATATGAAAATTAAATGTACGTGGAAAGATTCTTGCTTTCTGAATGAAAACGTTTTCTTCCGGTTGTGACTTTCGCAGATATTTGAATTTTCATGATCATTTGCCGTCCATTCAGGGCGTACAAATTAGTAAGTGAATTTCTGGAGTCATTAAAAATATCTCATGTGAAGTAGATTCTGTTTCTACCTCGGTTTTATTAATATTTAGACACGTGTGTCAGAGAGGCATATACAATCGGGAATTTCAGCGGCGAGTACGAATATCATTTTCGATGCGTTTAATCGCGCTCGAGGCGCGATATATTCTGCAGAGAGAGAGGAATTCACTGCAGATTTTCCTAAACCATGGCTTAATTCACCGATATACCGAGGATTTTCCCAGGTGACACGCATTCCTGTCTTTACAGTCGTTGAATATTGCTCCCAGATCCTCGGAGTGTTAATGCACCTGTTTAATCGACGCGATAGTCAATGGAATTCTTGGAATAGCGACGATCGTTGCTGTATGAAAAGATCCACGGATTACTAAACATTTATTATCTGATGTACAGAATGTCAACAAACTGGCGATACAACATGAAAGAAGAATTTTTGCAAGAAAAAATAAATTGGAAGTGTAGAAAATATTTTTCGATATTATTTACTGATATTGCTTCTTGATTATTATTACATACTTTTATGAAAAATTAGGTTTAAATATTTTTTGCAAATACGCGTTTTAGATTACAGTCGCGTCTGATCATGGCCGACGTTTTCTACTTGCAATAAACATTGATCTTGGGTGGTATATGTATTTGTTACGATATATGTATTGTTCTATCAGTACATATGAAATTCATTTGAAAAGAAATAATATCGTTTCATTAAAAATATTCATAAAAGTTAATATACGTGGAAAAATCTAGTATTGGGCAGACCGTGACCTGAATATTAATCAAGGTCACACGTGCACGATGGATTTCCAATATCCATTTAATTAAATACGAAGTTTCATATGACAGAATATTATGTTCTATTACTCACTTATTTGTTCATCTACAATTGCTTGTCAGCAAGTATTGCCGCCGGTTCGATACGATGCTCCACTTTCATTACATATTTGCGAATCTGTATGCGATTGAACAATGCAAATCATGAGATAGGAATATATTCGCTTATTACTTCATTTCCCAGAATGCAACAATATTCTGAAGCATTTCGCAGGAATTTGA